TTATGATTAGTACCAACGGTTATTCAACAAAATGTGTTAAATTAATACAGATAGATATATTACCCAAATTAAGAAATGTACAAATACTTTTTGTTCAATGAAATATTATTACTATTTGTCCATCATTATAAGAAGTATAATTTATTGCATTTATTAATAAATTGTTAATTAATGTTTGCTTTCTATATAAATAAGATTTTTTAAAATAATATTCTCTCCTGGTACAAATATTTTTTTACATTCACCATAAATTCTTCAAGAAATTTTTCTTAACTCGCTCACACTTGTTTCATTCTTTCGTCAATCAATCTATTTTAATCTCGGCCTGTCGCATTTTCCTCACATAATTTGTTAATCTGTCAGTGACGGAAATCATTCGTTATTATTTATAAGATCATGCATGCTCGACGAAAGAACATTCGAGCGAAATTGTGAACATAAATCGGACAAACGCGGTTGGGGAGTAACGAGTAATGAGATGCCTGCGTCTCATTATAAGACATACGGTAAATCGGAGACGTAAGTGCGTAAGGAAACAGGAGAAGCGTGTTTTGTTCCTCCATTCCACTGTTTTACGTTCCTTCTTATTGGCACAATCGATAACAATTTAAGGAATATTTTACATCGCCGGATACAATAAAGCAAGGAATTTCCATGTTATCTCATATTCACGCATGAAAGACATTTCGCATTACGACTTTACAGACAGAATTTTATATTTTTAGTGATAAAAAATGGTAAAGAGTTGATGAAAAATGGTTGGAAGTTCTGTACCGCATAAATTCACGTTCGAATTAAATGGGAAAATAAATATAAATGGAAGAAGAAATGAGATAAATGTACGTCGGGTATAATAAAGGATTCATTATGCTCTCTTACGAGAGGTGTAATGAGATGTTTAAATGAAGAGAAATTTGAGACATACTAAAATTTCTTTAAAAATTACAAATATCTTCATCATTTTGTATGCAGCTATATCTATTGAAAAATAAGGTCCCTATATTGTACAAGGCTGAAAGGGCATATTTAAAGAAAGTAACAAGCTCGTTGCAGTGGCATAAAATTCTCAAAGATAACGTAACTTACAAAGACGGATTAACGATAGAAATTTCTTTTTTCCATTAATAATATAGTTTAACGTTACCTTTGAAGATAATTGTGTAATTCTCTGTACATGAGCGTAGCCAGGATTTTATTTAGGTGGGGGGAGGGGGCAAATTAAAGTTGAGACTTTTAAACCCAGTGAGGGAGAGTGGTAGGTGGACTATTGGATGTATTTTGTTTTATATTATTATTATTACTAATTAATTATTAGCAAGGAAATCACGAAATTGAACATATTTAATTTATTGATGTATTTTAGTTTTCTTTTAAAATTGTAAACAGATTTTTTTAATGAAAAAACTTAAACTTATACTACTAGTCTGTCTTGGATCATTAGAAAATCTTTTTATATAATTTTTCGAATCTTTCTTTTTTTTCAAAAATTAATTTCAAAAATTTAATTTGTTAATACATTGAGAATTGTTAATACATTGATCTACAAATATGCAATGATTTTTTTGTAATTATTTTTGTTCTTTTTTAAGATTTGAGAGGTACGATCCCCCTTGTTTCCCCCTTGACTATGCATGCCTCTATATGTGTAAAAAGAAAAACTATTTAAGGTATGTGATAATAGTAGAAAGAAATCCGTATTTTCCAAGTGCAAAATTAAACTTTGGTTTTTAATTTTTCATGGGAAGAGAACTGGTTGCACAAGTAAAATTTTTTACGCTTTAAAATATTGGAATAGACAAACTTTATAATGAAAGACTCTAATTTCCGGTAATGTATTTTTGTGATTCGCTTTATCAAAATCTTGCAACGATAGAAAGAACGTTTCGATATGTAACAGCGCTGTCTGCGCTTGAAATGTTTGAATCGCATTTTTCGAAAAGATCTCGTCGACGTAGAAACGCGATCGGAAGCACGTCACGCCGTTAATGAAAACGAGCGCTGCTCGAAGAAGAAGACCACAAAGTGGACGTCGATAAAGTCGCCGTAGAGTGGATGCTCGATAACTGTGTCCCAACGACGACGAAGTACGTCGGGGCAAATTAAATTTTCTTCGTTGACTAGTCCAAATTTCTCCATTGAGCCCTTCATTCCCAGCACATCCTTCTCTTCTTCCTTTCTTTGAATTCATTCGTCTCTCGGCGGTTTCCTTTTTAGCAATCAGACGAGCTGGAGCCAAGCTTGTACCACCTAGAGGCACAATCGCGAGATAACCGAAATTTCTGTTTCTTGCATATTTCTTTTTGTTACTTTACAATAATGACAAAATCGGCAGCCATAAACTGATAAACTATTCTAACGGAAAATCGTATCTTGTAAATATTAATTTTATTTGTCAATACATTTATTGTTTCATTTTCTTATACACTCTTAGCTAAAAGTATTAGGTATCTATGTGTTTCTTTCATTTATTTGAAATTCTTTTATCTATTGCATTCTATTGTATTATTTTCTATTGTCTGCATTGTACATAAGTTTAAGGGGATGCTGGCGTAACGAAATTATCGACATTACGGGTTAGAAAGTTTTTCAAATTGACTTTACAGGCTTGAAAACCTTTTTACTAAAAGAATTATTCGTATATATATATATATATATAATCAGTTGAAAAGTTCTGTACCATTTTGCAATTTTCTCAATAGTTTACGAGAAATTAATTACTAAAGATTGCCGAATGAATTCGTATTCAATTTTAATATTGTTTATTATAAATTGATTTTTGAGTTAAAACGTTAAAGGTTAATAAGATGCTTGTACTTTTGATCAAAGTTGTATCTCATTTATACTCTTTGTGTTAAAGAAATATAAATGATCATTTATATTTCTTTCAATTATTTACATGCCTATATTAATAATACGAATACGATATGCGAATATAACAATATAGATATGTAGATTTTAGTAACAAAAAAATTAAAAAAATGCTATAAATTTAGATTCTGAAAAATCTTTGACATTCAATAACCTGACATACACCAAATATCAAAGGGTATCGAATCTCAAAAGTCTCTGTGGGTGGTCATCAAGCATTCGCTATGTACGTGAGAGAATTCACTTCGATATATTCTTAACTTCGACCTTTGCTAGAATAGAATTGTCAAGAAAATGAAGGAAAGCATTCAGTATAAATCGGCGAAGTATCGACAAATAATGAATCGAGTCACACCTGAAATAACACGGAGATGAAGAAAGCAACGGGAAGCAGGTATACAAAAAAAGGTACAATAAACAGTAAATTTTGCAAAATACTTTCCATCATCTAATATATTTTTCGAATATCTACCACTATATAGTCTGTACACTTCGACTTTTTTAAATTTCATTTTCTAAAGTTTTTTAAAAATTTTTGAGAAATAAATAATTTTTCTAATGTATAGAACATGTAAAACATATTGAAGCGAAAATGCAGAATTAATAAAGTGTTTCATGGTGCGGTGTGAGAAATCGATGTAGTTGTTCTTGAATGATGTCTAACGTAAATCACAGATAAAACGTGCGAGAAAACAGAAGGAATGATAAAAAAGTGACTGGATGTAAAATCTCTAAGATGCCATCGGGCTGAAGATATGAGGAAGCCCGGTGGCTTATCTCGTTTGCATGGAAGCGTTCTTTGTGAATAAAGAAAACGTGTGGAAAACTCGCGTTACATGTCGCGCATATTTCTCATGAAGAGAGAAATGCATTCGGAATGACACGTTGCATGCGAATGTAAATCGCAACGCAAGAGAATTAAATTTTATCGCTGTGTAATTTGCACCGAAGGTACACTTCATAAACGATTGTTCATTAAATCCGCGTCCGTAATTATAATTATTCATTTGCAAGTTAAGCTTTATAGCTTATTACTCGCGATAATTATTTATTAAATAATTAAATATACATTCCTCTTAATCTTGATTATATAATTAAAGAAAATAAAATCGTATTGTTCATCGGAAATGCCATAAACTTAACAGATGACATTTTGCTTCATTAATAATGTCTGAAACTAAATTTTCTGCTTCTACTATACCTCCATCTCTTTAATAATGTGAATACAAGTACACAACATATATATTCAAACGCAAATGTTCCTCACCTCAACGACGTTGAGAATTTGACTATGCTGATACTTGATTAATTTTAACCACTGCATTAGTCCTTTGGCTGTGTTATTGCGTGTACACTTATCCCTATGTGCAAACGGGCTACAAACTACACGTGTAAGACGATCTCGAGGTGTGTGTGTGTATATAAGCATGTTAAGTGAATACAACGTGGTGGTCTCTAGCGCAGCACTCGTCTACGTATACACAACTTACCTCGAGGAGTTTGCTAGCGTTCTTGCTTGCATTTGACTAACCGCGTTAACGGATCTCGATCCAAATATCAGTCTCGAGGAATCCTTTATGTGGTTCACGCTTTCTGTGCACCGGGTCGGTGCCAAGAACCTGCAACGAGCCTTTGTCCTTATGGATTCCCGCAAGACAAATCCGAGTTTCGCAATTTGCCATTTGAATGAAGCTTCATAACTTTGTAATCTTTCAATGATTTTTTAGATCGTAAATAACGTAAACAAAAGCGAATTTTTTCATACATTTAGAAAAATTGTTGAATGACTTTATGGCGTAATAATTAATGTACTATGCACGTAAGAAATTCTTAATTTATTTATAAATTTAAATTATATTTTGCATTAAATTTTATGGTTTCCATTTAAATTGTTTTCATTCCTATTTTATAATTAAAAAATAATTTAAGAAAGATAATTAAAGTACATTCTAACGAGTTCTAACACAAAATCAATTTAGAAATATTTAATAATTTTGTGTACTTGATTCGTATATATTTTTGATCTTTTTTTGTGTTAAATTTTGTATTAAAATTTAACAAATGATAAAGTCTCTTTTTCTGTCCAATTAATAATTATCTTTATGTAACTTGATTTATATTTTTGATTGCAGATGAGTGGAAAACGGACTAGAAGTTTTAAGTGCGCCGTGCACCATCGGGATCGTGAGGTCTGTTCCGAGAACGATTTTCACCTGCTCGTGCATGAGCCACCTCTGTTTCGCAGGTATGATTTTAAGAGTCACACTTAATATAATAAATTTTCCACGGTCCATCTCGAAATGTGACAGTAGCACTTGGAAGCACGTATTTTTCTGCTTCATAAGATTTTGACAAAACATTTCTTTGACAAAGTCTTTTAACGACCAATTCAAAATCTAAACCATGAAAATTTCAAACGACACTGACTTGTATTATTACTAATCATTGTCAAAATTGTAATAAAACATATCCAGATACGTCGAGCAAATGAAAAGCAGTCGTTTGCAAAGATATTCGGTTACTAAAACACTTCTTTGAGAATAGCACGTACATTCGAGTTGAGATAGTGTGATAGGTCTCTCAAAAAGAGCGGTAAACCAATTCTCTCATCTTACGACACGTCGAAAGGCGCGAAAGACGCACGAAGACGCTAGGAATGTGGATAAAACGAAAACACGAGGCGAAGGAAAAGTCCTGTATTTTATTATTCTGGCAGAATATCCGACGTGCGCGACGACGACGACAGTAGAAGCGACGACGCGACAGAGACAGCAACGCGGACTAGAACGGCCATTCTTACAGTATTTCTGCCGTGCATTTTATGCTGCGCATCGTTACCCATGCGAGAGAACCTCGAGGAGCTACCGACATACCTCGTACATTGTACGACCTGCGAAACATCAACATCTTCCTGCTTCCTATGACCCGCTCTTGCGATCCCACTTCCTTCTTCATGCCTTTCTCACTTTGCATCTTCTACGCTCCGTGAAATTATAAATGCAATGATGTCGTTATTTACCGATACGCTTCCACGCTTTTAAACAGTTCTTTACACCATCAAATTTTTTCCGATGGATGATGTGCATTGGCGGATCCAGAAATTTGTCAACGGGGAAAAATCATTGGCTCGCCAGTTAAATTTTTTTTGAGATCAAATATGAAAAGATTGAATATTAAATTATCTTTTAAATTATTATATTGAAAAGGTATAATTTAAATATGTACAAAATGTTTTATTTAAAATTATATTAACATAAAAAAAAATATAATTAAATTTATATTTTTTATATATCTAGGTGTTTCTTAAATAAAAAAATATTTTTGAAATATCAAAATTGCGATTAAACATTTCAGAAATATTAAAAATGTATATAATATTTTGCTATATATTTTTTTAAAAAAGGAGATTCCAAGGAGGAACAATGGCCTCCCTCTGTAAGTGCACGAATAGTCGTGAAAAATTATGATTTCCTATAAAAAGGAAATAATAAGCTGAGTATAAATCGTTGCCATAATAACAGCTACGACATTGAACATGGATTGTCGGGTGTAATCGATATGGTAAATATCGTTCGTCGTTAATCATACCTTTAACGAATCCATCGAGTTCGTCGTCGGTATAAATATAACTTATACAGAATAATTGCTGTTACGCGACAAGCTTAATAATGCAATTTATTGACGTCCTCGGTGCAGTTTCGAGTTTAATTTGCAAACGTACGTGACGAGGTATTCGACGTGCAATTTAAATAAAAGCATTCCCGCTATCTAATGCGTCATTTATAACAACATCGGGATCGCATCGATGTCGCGTCGCGATCTCGAAGGCGTGTTCGTTTCGTTGCGCATCCGAAGATATTAATTCATTTTTTCTCGCGGACCAGGCTCGATAAGATGAATAGGTTTGGATATGTATCGGGCATCGTTCTTTCGAGGAGGCGCCGCCCGTGCTGGGTCTCTCGAGCGTGGTCGATTCGACTTGTTCCTGGGTGCTAGTCATAAATAATTCATCGTATCGCCCGCACGAAAGAAGAGACGGCGAAGATGGTGCTCGACGGAGCGAGGGAGAAAGAATGAGAAAATGAGACGGAGAAGACAAGCGACAAGAGATAGGCCGTGCAAGGTAGACTTCGAAGTAGGCGCATAGGGATGGCTTTATATGAAAACTAATAGAACTTACGTTTCAAGCCCTCAGCTGTCAAGGGACTCCGGAGATGGTAATTTTGTATTTATACAAATATTTGTAGAACTTTTAAAGTTTTATATCGCGCGAGATAAAATACACATAAATTCTCTGACATGTTTCTCAACATCGTTCTGTTTTTCTTTTTTTATTTTTTTCTGAATTCGAAAATTATTAACTTTGATCAAAGTCATCGTTCACTCTCCCGGGTAAATTGAGAGAGGAACAAAAAAGTTTAAAAATTATAAAAAGATCAATGAAATGTAAGAGACCCATGGAAGAAGATAAAGATGAAGATAGATCGATAGATATTATCGTCATGGGTATTGAGGGCTCTAAGATAACACTGAACAAAATTGATAGAGTAAACTTAATTATAAAGAAGTAGAAACCAAATTAATAATAAAAAAAGAGAGAAAAAGTGATAGTAACGTGTTTGAAAAGTGTAACAAAATTAATAAAAGGCACACTGTTAAGTTCACAATGTCAAATTATGCCTAATTTGTATTATTTTTAATTACTTCTATAGATTACCACTATTCCTACTCAACATGTCGTTAGTTTAACTAAAACAGTGGAGTCAAACAATTTAACTCAAACAAATGTATTAAATTTGACTTAAATTCAGTTTATTATTTACTAATTGTAAGTGCAAACATTAATCGAACGTTGTTTACTTTGAAACTAACCACAGAAATAGATTGATTTACATTTTAACACACACATGAAAGTTAAAAATAACAAAATGTTATTTAATTCAAGAGAGTTGTCATTGCTTCTTTGATATCTAATAGTGCACGTATCTATCTGTAAGTAGCATCTACTAGAAAGAGAGAAAGAAATGCGGTGAGTGCTAAATCTAGGCGCCACGTTGCATCGCGACGTGCCGTACCGAAGAGAGAAATTCCTGTACACACAAGATAAGAAGAAGCGGCAACTTACAGTCAGGGCTCTTTGCAAATAAAATATCGTCTCGTGTCAAGCGGTCGCGCCTAGCGGGGATGGTGTTCGAGGATGGGCGAGAATCCGACGCGTTACGACGGAAATATGACGAGACGATATTCCGAGCAGGTACCGAGCGCATGCTTGGAATTCGGTGTGAGCACAACCCTTAAGTCTTGGGTGCGCTACCCCTTGTGACACCCTCCGACATCTCTTCATCTCGCTCCTTTTGTCGTCCCCAGCCACTTTCGCGATCCATGTAACTCGTATCTCTCCGTCTCGCTATATTTCTCTCTCTCTCTCTTTCTTTCTCTCGTCCGCACTTCGTTACATTAACGTGCGAGGAGTATGTAAATTTTACCGCTGACTCGCGAAAAGATGGGACTTCTTCGCTCGTACCCTCGGGAGGTCGCGCAGCCGACACATCTGAAAAACTTTACACGGCGGCGACGGTTTATGGCGGTCGGTACATCTTCGGTGGAGAGCCGCATTGGTCGCGAGGTAATAGTGATGGTCGTACAACAGGGATATTGAAGTCTTTGAGATTCTCCGACGTGAATCGCACAACGGCAGTTCGAATTGACGTTAATACATAATCCTTAAAGCAGCGTTTAAAGATTTCAAGGCGTAAAACTTGAGCTTTAAGTATCAAGAGCTATACACAATTAAATCCATAATGTCAAATTTAACCTAATTTGTATCGCTACCGCTTCTACTCAATATATTGTTACTTTATACTAAAAACAATTATTAAATTCGACACTATATAGTATCAAATTTAATCCAATTTGAATTGTTTCAAAATGTTTAACGCCATTGTTTTAGTATAAAATGACGAAATATTAAGTAGAAACCACCTAAATTAGGTAAATTTAACACTGTAGATTTAATAGTGCAAGAAACTATTGCAATCACAGTCGAATGTGAGGAGAATATGATGGTTGAATTTCTTACGACTTAAGGCTTCAAAGCTTAAGTTTTACCCTTTAAAATCTCATTGTAGACGTCGCTTTAAACCGCGAGGTGTCAGACTGTGCGTCATAAGAATGGCGGTAACGAATGCTTCTGGCAAAGTAACATTTTCGAGAAAACGAATCAAAAATCTTCGCACCATATGGAATAGTATGCCTGAATAATTCTCGTGACTCTCGGCCAGCGATCCGATTTCCGCTCCGATGATATTTCCGTTCACCATTGTCGCAAAAAGAAGGGATGGAAACACGGTGCCGTCGCTTCGTGCACGCTTCCGCCTCTATGTCGGGGTATTCCCTTTCGCTTAACAAACTCGAAGCGGACATTTTGCAAGGCGGACCGGGATGGTTACACAAAAAGAACCCGGTTACACACATGCGGAAATTCGTTGCGCGCACGTCTCTCATTCGGCCCTTTGTCGAGGCCTCGCTTGGTCGGCGTGCGCGCTTCCATTTTTCGCTTTCGCGAGAACGTCATCCAGCCGTTATGCGCTCGTTCGCGCTTCTCGTCGACGCGACAATGAGCTTCTGCTCTCGCGGAAAACCACTTCGTTTTTCCTCCCAGCCTGTATCGTGCATATATATATATACGGGTTCGTTATAACGAACCGTCAGCGGAGCACAATTATTTCACACTTTTAACGCACTCCTTTACTCTTTCTTTCAGTACGAATACTATGAACACTGGCGTTTCTGAAAACGGAATCTTAACTTGTACGACGATGGAAAACTCGGCTGCGTTTTATGTAAAAATCTAATCAGAATTTTAGCGAATAATTGAAGAGATGTTCTGCAGTAAATTACTTGCAAGTCAATTTCTTTATGAAAAGTCTATTGCAAGTATGATAAATCTCAGGAGATTCCGAAAATGATTTATAGAATTTTCTCGATCAAGAATATATATATCTAAAGGAAATCCAGTTTCTGGTAAATGCTAAAAATATTAAGTGAGATTTATACGTTTGCATCGCAATCTATATTTAAATCTTAATTAGATTATTGAAATCATAGAATAATCGATATCATTCACATTTTTAGAACCAAACTGTTTGAAAGGAAATACTTAATTAAAACTTGATTAATTAATATGTTTTAACTTTATGAAGAAAAAATCTAAAATTTCAAGTTTTAATTTATGTCAAAATACTT